TTCTTCGCCCTCTACCCTTCGACGAACGTCGCGCGGAATCCGGATCTTCTCTGTTTGCACGATGGGAATCGAAGAATCAACGCGTCGAGACGCGGACAGCTGGCAGAAGACGGCGGTAGCGGCGACGATGGCAACTTGGTTGATCGGTTGGTTGGTTGTTTGGTTGGATTCGCCGAGCGAAATGCGTTCCGCGTAGCAGTGGGTAGCAGAATAGTACAAAGTAACTTCGTAGTGGAATAGTAAAATCGTAGTGGTTCACGATAGGAGCGGTAATAGTAGTAGCGATAATAGCGATAGTGATGCGTGGATAATAGCGGGAGTACCGACGATCGAGTGGGTAGCAGCGGTAATAGAGATTGCTCTCGGGGACTGTGTCTCCAGGCGGGTATATAAGAATACATGAGCAAAAGGTGAGACGGAGAGTGTACGCATGTATGTGCGTGTGGCGTGTGTGTGTGTGTGTATATGTGTTTGTGTCAGTGTCGGGAAGGGGAGCGGGACGGGGACTTTGAACGAGTGGCTGGGGAGGGTGGGCGGCAGAAGATTCACGTATGGGGGAGGGGGTGGTACGTAGAAGTGGTAGTTAATTAGCTAGGGTTGCGAGATAATTAGGGAGAACACAGCTGGGGTTAACACCAGCGGTAAGGCACGGCTCGAGGTCGATCCGCACCCTCCTTCACCAACGGCTTGTGGAACTCCCGACCAGGCCGCGAGTGAATCGTCGCCCAGCAGTGCTCGCAATAGTACTGGAAAAAAAAAGAAGAAAATGCGCGTTTCCCGGTGTCGCTGTTTTTTGTCCAGCGTGCATCTGGACCGGTTCGACTAGGGACGGAATTTACCTGTAGGCAGGTGACGTTCGCGCAGAAGAACGGCGCAAATTTGCCTCCGCAACGTTGTCCCTGACACTCGTCACACATCTGATCGTCCAGGACGTACGGTTTCACTTCGACCTGTTCGAGCGAAACGAAACGATCACGTGAGCGTTCGCGAGTTGATCGGTGAAACCGCTCTGGCGGTGTCCAGAAACGCGGTAAGAAAGATTCGTCCACTTACTCTCTTGTCTATGTCACCGTGCTGCAGTTGAACGAATCTGGCCGATATGGCAGCTATGTAGCTCTGTTGATTGCTGAAAGCGACCCTACCGGCTCCTTTGGGATACTTGAGCTCGGGGTCGGTGTCGATGCCGGCGTAGCACACGCCCCCGTAAAGTCGGTCCATGATCATCGCGAGCTCGACGGCCTTCAACGGCCGCGGCACGCCGCCGACGAACACCGTCTTCCGCGGGTCCAGCGGCATCGAGGCGTCGAGCACGAAATCGGCGTCGCTCAATCGCCACGGCCGGATCTGCACGGGCTTGTCCTTGGTCGTGGGCGAGCTCACGCACAGATACAGCTTCTCCTCGTCCTGGATACACGCGTCGATCAGCTGCTGCACGGACGCTTCGTCCTAGGTCCAACGAAAATTCAAGACGCGTTACCGAGACCGTTACGATCACCGAGCGAGCCAGGCTCGACGCTGTTTATTTCTAGATTACCTGGAAAAGCAGGAAAGCGTAGCCCTTCGGTGGAAAGTAGGATTTACTCTCCGCTTTGTGGGGCCAATCGACGACCAGCGATCCGAAACGACGGAAACTGGCTTTGATTTCCTCTGAAGCACGACAATCGCAAATTCATAAACGCGTTCTCTCGTTTTTTTTTTTTTTTGTTCCCCACCAACGATCGACGTGCGAAAGAGAATTTACCTTCGTCGATGTCCGGTGGCAGGCCACCGACGAATACTTTTCTGGAGAATCGTTCCCCGGTCTCGCTGCCCTGACTGTGAGGACTGCTTCGACTCGGAGACGAAAGCGGCGCCGTTTGGGACCCGGTGATACCGCTTCCGACGCCTACTCCGACTCCAACGCCTACGCCGACGCCAACGCCGACGCCGACGCCGACACCGACCCCGACGCCATCCAGCTGATTCGCCGAGTTAGGATCCTCCAGCAGCGTGCCGCTCTGGTCCTCCAAACTCGGGAAGAACGGCGATTTGCCTGCAACAGAGATCGTCGCGCGTATTCTTCTCCGCTCCTCTGAACCCATCTTCCCCCCGCTCGTTTCGTTCTTAGACACCGAAAGAGTGGGCCACGGCTTTCATATAACCTGTCGGTCTATCGAGCGTCTTGTCCCGAAATTGACGGATCAATAACACATCGCATCGGAAGATGTGAGAATACGAATACCGGATTTGATTATA